TCATCCAGCCTGATCTTGAATGTCCCCAGGGAGGGGGCCTCCACCACCTCTCTGGGCAGCCTGTTCCAGTGGCCTGTCACCCTCATATTGAAGAATATGCCAATATTCTGTCCGATGCCAATAAACTAAATTAAATCTGAAGTGTAAACTGAGAGGCTGATCTGACCTCAGAGCACTCCCAGCCTTTGGATGCCTACCAGGGAAGATGATGCACTGCTGCCACAACCACCCCTGCCTGCAGCCTCAGCTCCATGTGGAGCTTGGGGAGGTTCACTATGAGAGACAACAAACACTAGTTTTCTTGTAGGGAGCATTGGTCATTTGCTACCTAAACTCTTTCAGTTACCTTCACCAAAAAGTCTCATCGTATTTAAAGTGGGCAAGGGAATGATTTGAGAGTGTGTGATTAATGGAGAAGGCACTGAATAGCATTCAAAGAGCCACCCTTTCCAGGTGGGATGAACCACTCCTGCAGCTCCTGGCTTTTGTGAGTGTATGTCACAGAATCATAGAACCATAGAACGGTTTGGGTTGGAAGGGACCTCAAAGATCATCTGGTTCCATCCCCCTGCCATGGGCAGGGACACCTCCCACTGGATCAGATTGGTCAGAGCCCCATCCAGCCTGGTCTTGAACACAATTAGGGATGAAGAACCCACAGCTTCCCTGGGCAGCCTGTGCCAGGGCCCCACCACCTTCAAACTGAAGAACTTCCTTACATCTAATCGAAATCTCCCCTCTTCCAGTTTGAACCCATCACCCCTTCTCCTATCACTACAAGCCCTTGTGAAAAGTGTCTCCCCAGCTTTCTGACAGGCCCCTTGATACTATTCTATGATTCTAGAAGCAAGAAGATTATTTTCTTTAGTGTATATGTAAATACACATGTAAATTATACATACAATAAACATGAGCAAGGAGACACCTCCTGCAACCCCCTTCACACCACTCCCCAAGAGTGACCACCCAAGGATATTGTGGGAAAAGAATATACACAAAGGCCACAAAAGCTGCCCAGTTTGATATAAATAACAGAATAGCAGTTGAGTAAGGAGAACAGAAAGTTTCAAACGCCAGAGGAATTATCTTCTAACACACCACCACTGAATAAAGCCGATGTTGACAGATGAAGGGTCTAAAGAAAAATCCTGGCAGTTTAAATAAACCAGCTTTTTGTCATCTCCTGGTGGTGCTTAGATATTGTGACACACCTACAGAGCCTGTAGATCAAGGAAATTAAGAAAAAAATGTCACTGCAGATAATAGAGGCTTTGTGCAAAGGCCAGAACTTTGATCCAACAAAAACAGGTTTTGAAAACAGGTACAAAATGGCTGTGAAGGCAAGCAAGGACCTTGAGGGGCTGGAGCGTGGCCAGAGAAGGGCAACGGAGCTGCTGGGGAAGGGCCTAGAACCCAAGTGTGGGGAGGAGCAGCTGAGGGAGCTGGGGGTGCTGAGCCTGGAGCAAAGGAGGCTCAGGGGAGACCTTCTGGCTCTGCACAGCTCCTGACAGGAGCCTGGAGCCAGGGGGGGGTCGGGCTCTGCTCCCAAGGGAAAAGGGACAGGGCAAGAGGAAAGGGCCTCAAGTTGCCCCAGGGGAGGTTTCAGTTGCCCCTGAGGAACAATTTCTTCCCCTGGAGGGTTGCCCAGGGCTGTGCCAGGCTGCCCAGGGCAGTGGTGGAGTCCCCACCCCTGGAGGGGTTTCCAAGCTGTGGAGATGTGGGGTGAGGGACACGGGGCACTGGGGACCTGGCAGGGCTGGGGGATGGTTGGACTCCAGGAGTTTAAAGGTGTGTTCCAACCAACAGAGTTCTGATTCTATAGGGTCCTGATGGGCACAGGGGCCAGGCAGGACCATGTCAGGTCAGGAGATCCTTTCACCCACAGGGCTTGGAGGAAAGTTTTAGGGACAGATGCAGAAAGGGAAGGTGGCTGCAGCTGAGACACCAGGCTGGTGGCCAGCTGGACCCACACGTAGACCAGCTCTGTTCAGAGACCTGGGTTTGGGGTCACCACCCCCTGAGGAAGATCCCAGCACAAGGCTTCGCAAGAAGAGCACGGCATGAGGAAGAAGATCAGTGGATCTGTAGCAGTAATAAGACACAACTTCAGTTCCAAGAGAAAGAAAGTGGAATATTCTACACAGGAAATACTGAAAAATGGAGGATTTGGCAACGGGAAGCCAGACCCTGAGATCTAGGCCTGTGGTGTGGGATTGACACAAGCACATCTGCATGACTGTGGGACTGAGGGACTGAGCCCTGCCTGGGGGGCTGCACACAGACCCTCAGCGACACAGCCCCAAGTGCCTCCAGTCTCTGGTCCTGCTCAGGTCTCACTCCTCCTCCACGTCATGACATTACCACGTGCAAAGTGGTTAAATGCATTACTGAGAAGGAGTCTGGAGGAGAACGGGGATCCTTGGGACATGCTTCAATCTGGCTCTAATTTGATATTTTGCACAGGAGACTTTCAGCAGCTTGCAGTGAGGTCATGGCACTTGCAACCACACGCAGCAGAGCCTGGAGAGTGTGCAAACAGCAGTGGAGAGGGTGCTCCTATGAGATTTGCATATAAATTAAAAAGTATAGAGAAATAAAAGCCTCTCATGGTTATGTCAAAGCATCTAATTTGTCCACCTGCTGTGTGTTGAAGGAACGTTATCCTCCAAAGCCATGGGAGGAACGGTCTGTATTGTTCTGCTTGCCCAAGTGTTTAATTTACCAGAATTAATATTTATCAGACATGTATCAACTTTTTTTACTGTTGATTACCTAATTCTTATTACTGTAATACATATTCCAAGAGGAATTCTTATTAAGAGACCGAATACAAATAAAATGCAAAGTTAATTTGATGGGAATACTACTACAGCTGAGATGCTCAAGGCTATTTTTTTTCAGAAAATCAATGCAACTTGACACATAAATATTTACACAGTGTGGAAATGTAGTCAGAAGGTCCAAGAATTAATGGACAACCACCCCAGTAGCTGCTAAGAGGTCTCCATATACTTTGCAGGGAAAGACAGAGTAAAAGGATAGGCAGAGCTTGAAGTACAAGAGCTAATCCACATTAATCCTTTACACATGGCAGAATAGAGGAGGATGAATCATGTGCTGTGAGAAAGAGCAGTGGCTCCATTTAAGGTTCATTTCATCCCAGATAGTCTTGGATTAAGGTTAGGCTACAAATCAAGAGGAAAACCGTCACTACACGTTTCTGTTTGGAAAACTTCAATTAATTCAATAAATATAAATACTATGAACATGTGGATTTGTCGCCAGCTACTTTAACACACATTGAACTTTTAAACCCTGAAACTTGAGACCAAAGGAAAGTGAAAGATTGAAATAAGAGTCATCCCCTCAGTGGCAGTGCTCTGCCAGCTCTGGCTCTCTCCCCGCCGCCACGCCGGGGGCAGGTTCACAGTGACACTTGGCATTTCCAGAGGGGAGCTTCAGCAGCAAGGAAAACAAGAGAGCACTGATGATTCACAAGTCACACAGAGCTGTGTTATACCTCATCTTGATGGCAACCATTCCCACAAAGCTGCACTACAATATTGCTGTTGGAACGCTGCTGGAACACCAGCCCTGGTTCTGCAGCACCCGTGGGTTTGGGTGAAGCTAGGAAACCTGCTGGTCTATTTTTCTCACCTTAAAGACAAATGGGGTCGAAGGACTTTGTGTCTAGCATCATCAGATGATGACCCTGGTGCTCTCAGTTTGGTTTTTTGTGATCTTTTACACCTTTGAAAAAAGCCAGCCAGCACACCCAAAAAATGGGCAAGGAAGGAAGAGGAAGAGGGACCTCAGAAACAGTGTTGTGAACCAAAAGTGCTCAACCTTGTTTCTTTTGGTTGTTTTTTTCCTCATGCAAGTAAAGGTGGATTGATCTTTTTTTTTTTTCTCTCTACAATTGCCCTGTTTCCATGCTTTCCCCAAGTGCTTTTGCTTTCCTGTGCTGCAGGAGAGTGCTCAAGCACAGAAGGTGGGAGCAAGCCCCAGTGCAGACGATGAAGGGAAGCACCATGGCTAGGAAAAATCTGGGAAAAGAGGAGTGACACACTCCACTCATTGAATGTTATGGCTTTGCTAAAAGCATATATAGTCTAGAGAGTCTGCTGACCCGCATTTGGAAACACCAGGAAGCTCTTGTAGGAGCACCTCCTACTTTGTTCCAATGCTAATCAGCCACAAGGTTAAAAAAAAAAACCATCTTTTTCTTGCCAATTTTGAATGTGTTTGCTTCAGCTCCTCATTTTGGATTCCTGGGTTTCTCTGCAGTAGTCTGGAGTCCTTCAGTGTTCTCTGATTTTTTTTCTTTCTCTCCTGGTAGATACACATGGGAATGAAGCTCTCTCTGGTTTTATTTTTTTTCTATACACTATACATAGATGTATAATTCTCCCAGCCAGAAATGTTCCTTGTCCCACCATCACATTCCTAGCTCCTCTTTACACCATATCGGGTGTTCAGGCAGGGGACTCTGGGCTCTGCACAGTCTTCTGGTGTCAATCTCTGTGTCACACACAGAGCTAAAATAACCTCCTCTTCTCCAAGGCCATGCTCCTGGCATTTCTGGTGCCACATCGTTGTAAGAGCTCACGGTAAATTAGGCACCTGCTGTATCCACCCAACTCTTCAGAGGGCACTCAGCAGAGGAACAGTTTCTCTTTGCCATCATAAAGAACATTTTTTCTCAATCAGCCCATGTTGCCAATAATCCTGGTTATTCTCTATTACCTTGTTCTCACTTGACCAGTATTTTGTGTTTTCCCCAATGGCAATAGCAGGGTTTTATATTAAAATCTTATGACTGGCCTCAGGAGGAGGAAAAGAAAAAAAAAAACCCCAACATCAGAAACACAGCAGTTTATGTAGACTTCTTCCCTAATGACTCCTTTTTCCAATATATCAGTCCAGGCAGTTCTCAATCCACATGCTCTCTTGATATTAAATAGCAGAATTTAACATTGTCTTTCTATTAATCCTAATATTTTGTGCTAAAAAGTGCCCCACGAAGTCTACCTGCATTACTTACCTTCAATTACTTGTGCCAACGAAAACTTATCATCCTATCCAAGGAAGAAATAAAGTTTGCTCAACAAGACCTATTTTCCAAGAGGGGAACTAAAGATTTTATTGAAACAACGGGAGAGTTTCAGTAGGAGGAAACAACCACCTCAGCTGAAGTCTAGCCAGACGTGAGAAGAAAAACATCCCCAAGATGTTAAGTGAGTGATGAAGAATGAGACAGGAAAATATAGTTATTCTTCCCAGGCTTGATAATTTTTCTAGCACGGAGAGTGTGAAGCACTGAAATGGCACAAAAATGAGCTACAGAAATGAGTGTGAAGTACACTCGTGCCCACTCTGAGTCTGCTCTGCACAAACCAAGCAGCAGAGAGGAGCACGAGGGCTGTGATGTGTTCCTTACCTTGCCACTCTTCCATGCAGGTCTCCAAGACCCTGGATGCATTTGTGGTCCAGGCTTTGAACAGCAAGATTAGTTTCTATAGCAGCACTATCCCTTGTTCTTATTTGCCTCTCCAAAACCTGTAAATTCAAGATCATAAATGTACTTTTTATTTTCTACTTGGAGGTGTAGGTTTCTTCAATTCAAGATAGAGTTTAAAGCACTATTTTATGGAGTACACCTAAAAGCTTTCTTTAATTTCTACAAGAAAAAATGTACTTTTCCTTCAAAACTCTGTATCCTCATAAGTGAAGACTGCCAGCAGGACCAGGGCAGGGATCATCCCCCTGGACTGGGCAGCAGTGGGGAGGCTGCCCCTCGAATCCTGGGGTCAGTTTTGGGCCCCTCACTGCATCCAAGAAGGACCCTGAGGGGCTGGAGCATGGCCAGAGAAGGGCAACGGAGCTGCTGGGGAAGGGTCTAGAGCCCAAGTGTGGGGAGGAGCAGCTGAGGGAGCTGGGGGTGCTGAGCCTGGAGCAAAGGAGGCTCAGGGGAGACCTTCTGGCTCTGCACAGCTCCTGACAGGAGCCTGGAGCCAGGGGTGGGTCGGGCGCGGCTCCCAAGGGACAAGGGCCAGGGCAAGAGGAAAGGGCCTCAAATTGCATGAGGGGAGGTTTCAGTTGTCCCTGAGGAACAATTTCTTGCCCTGGAGGGTTGCCCAGGGCTGTGCCAGGCTGCCCAGGGCAGTGGTGGAGTCCCCACCCCTGGAGGGGTTCCCAAGCCGTGGAGATGTGGGGTGAGGGACACGGGGCAGTGGGGACCTGGCAGGGATGGGGATGGTTGGCCTCAATCATCTTGAAAGTCTCTTCCAACCTCAGCAATGCTATGATTTGGTCATTCTATGATAATATGCCCATCTTTCCCTTAAAAAAAAAATGTACTTTATCTTAAGAAGCATATAAAAATCCAGAACTATAAAGATTGGGAATGGATCGTATCCTCCCCATGTGTCACCCGCAGTCCTGTGCAGCCTGTAATACATAGCACAGAGGTTTTTAAGTCAGGATCCTTTCACCAGATGTTTCTGTGAGGTAGGTGGTAGCTCAGGTGAGTTCTGCAGCACCCCGAGGTCATTGCAGCAGAGGTTTGCAGGATGGACAGAGCTGAGCAGGATCTCTGCCCTGAGATGAGTCTGCCCAAGGTGCAAATGCACAAACACTTACATCCAACTTAAGGCACCATGCTTGGCATGCATGAGAAGATCCCTCAACACACACAGGCCTGCCAGGGCAGGTTTTGGGTGCAGTGAGGGCAGGGACCTGCTGTGAGAGGGCATTACAGGTGCACCCACCCAGCCCTGAGCGAGGGTGTGGGTCACTATTAGCAGCTCCTAAATATCGTGTTCTGCCCTCACTGCTTAGCAGGAGGCACGGTACCTGAGTTATTGCAAGGATTAAAAGTCTCTCTGGAGATGGAAGGAGTAACCACCCTGCAGGCTCTTCTGACGTGGCTCATCCTGATGGTGTCTGAATGTGTCACAAGCATTAATTTTAGGAAGCCCGTGTGAAGCTGCTGTGACCTTTTACAGATACGGAGCGGAGGCGGAGCATGATTTCTGAAATCTCCTCATTTTACTTCTCGGGTTGAAAGGAGAGGCCTGGGGCTGATATTTCGGTGTGAATCAGCACTACACAGCCCTTCACCTCCTCAAAGCACAGCCTTCACCCTTTTTTATGCCCATGTCCTGTTTGTACAAAACCAGACTGGCTTTCTTTGGCCTTTTATTTGAAATGTTCCCCAGCGTGTGATTTTTGTTTATGAAGAATAATATAGGAAAAGACAAATATCAGGTGAATACCCCTGGCAGTGAGCCCCCATGCTGCACCACTGTCCTACTTACAGAATCCTAGAAGATCTCAAGATGGAAGGAGCCCACCAGGATCCCTGAGCCCACTCCGTGCTGCCTGCAGCACTACAAACACTAAACCATATGACTGAGAGCATTGCCCAGGTGCAGACTGAACCCTGGCAGCCCTGGTGCCATGACCACTTCCCTGGGGAGCCTGTTCCAGGGACCCACCACCCTCTCAGTGAAGAACCTTTTCCTAATGTCCACTCTGAGCTAGTTCTGATGCAGCTTAATGTCCTTGATGTTCCACCAGTGGTCACCTCCAAGAGGTCAGCACCCCCTCCATGCCCCCCTCGCAGTGCAGGCCACGACGATGTCACACGTCAGCGATGAGGCCACTCCTCAGCCTTCTCTTCTCCAGGTGGAACAAGCCCAGATAACCTCAGCCACTCTTCACAAGTCTTGCCCTTGAGACCTTTCACCATCTTGGTCACTCTTCCCTGGACACAATCTGGTAGTTTGATGTCCTTACATTGAGGGGCCCAAAACTGCACATGGTGCTCCAGGTGGGGCCACACCGACACGCTGTGGAGTGGACACCACCCCCCCTTGACCAGATAGTGATGCTGAGCTTCACACACCCCAGGACATGGTTGGCCTTTTTTGGCTGCCAGGGCACCCTGTTGATTCATATTCAACTCACCATCAACCCAAACCCTCAGATGCCTTTCCATGAGGCTGCTCTCCAGCCCTTCACCCCCCAGTTTGTGTGTGCAGCCAGAAGTACTGCTCCAGCTACAGGAGACACTGCAGGTGCACAGGTAAGCAGAGAAATCTATAGTAACTCTGGAGTAAAACATAACTCAGATCTGTCACGTATGCAGTTGCTCCTGAATAACCCTGGCACACAGAGTATGGACAAGTGAACACCCAGTGTAACAGGTATTCCTATTTTTTGCCCCACAGATAATGTTCAGAAAAGTGAAGTTCCCAAAGTGTGGAATGTACTGCACAGCTCCAGCGTGGTTTTGGCAGCGTATTTGGCAAAGGAAGTCTGATTTCAGAGGTCCAGGACAGAGGCAAGGAATGGTACCACCACCCCCTCTCTGGCAAAAGGATGTTCATTAGGATGGAGAGCATCAGCCTCCTGCTTGCTGACAGAAAATGATGTTCTCCTCCAGCTCGTTTCCTGCACTCCTGGCAGCCGTCCCATCCCACAGCTCATCACCCCTGGGTGGAAGAGAGCCATGTACACAACATGAGCCAACCATGTGTGAGTGCAGCCCAAAAAGCCACCCAGTCCTGGTCTGTATCCCCAGCAGCATGGGCAGCAGGTCAAGGAGGGGAGATGGAGATTAAATGTAAAGAAGTTCTTCACTATGAAGATGGTGAGACCCTGGCAGAGGTTGCCCCTGAAAACTATGGATGATCCCCTGCTGGGTGTGTTCAAGGCCAGGCTGGCTGGGCCCTCATGCATCCTGCTCTAGTTGTAGATGATCCTGCTCGTGGCAGTGGTGTTGTAACTAGATGATCTTTGAGGTCCCTTCCAACACAAATGATTCTACCACTATAATTCCACCAACACTATGGTTCTACGATTCTGTGACTCTGCTCCTGCTTGCTGGTGACCTCCTCACCTGTGGGCAACATCTTAGCTGAGACACGGTCACCTTCCCATTGCTATCAGAGGTGATGCCAGGCACATCCCCCCTCTGCCTCTAGGTTTTTAGCATTGATGCCTTTCTCTTGCCGTTTGCAATCCTCTCCTGGGCTCCTGGAGGATGTCTTTGTTAAGGGTCTGGTCATTTTCCACCTGGCACTAATTGCTTTGACATCCCTGAGGCAGCAGCAGCAGCAGCCAGGGCATTTTCCTGGCTCTGGCACAGGACTGTGCTTACTCAGCCTCACCCCCGGTGCCAACGGTGTGCCAGCATTTTCCCCAAAGCAGGCTCTTCTGAAGGATATTCTTCCTTCTTTGGGGAAGATCTGGAGTATAAGTGAGTCACATTTCCTGGCAGATCCTCTTTTTCTGTCGATTTTTTGTAACATTTAAGAAATCAACGTGGCACAACCACCCTCACCTGCTGCCTGCCAGGAGCAGCTCTCCAAACCTCCACTAATTCTGTAGTGGCTTTGACTGACGTGTCTCATTGTGCTGTTCCCTCTGCTCCATCCTTAGCCAGTCCTCACAGCCCTGATACACAAAGCAGACACACACCTGAGGATTGGACCTGGAGGAGAGCAATTTACAGCCAAGGGAAAAGATCAGATTTGGAAACTGATTTAGGCATTTTTCTAGCAAAACAGCCCTGTACATAATTGATCTAAATGGGGTTAGAGGAAGTGGATGATCTAAGTAAGTGGTTTTATAGCATTGCTTATTACCAGAATATCAAAACCTTGACAATAAAATCAGTGTGAAAAGAAGGCAGACTCAAGTTTTAATTCAGATTAATTTCAAGAGAGCCATGATTGCATACTTCTTAAGATAAACCTATAGAAGATCAAATATTTCTCCAGGCACATGAAAACCCCAACATATATTGAGGATTTGTAAGACATTTAACACTTCAAAGGACAAAACAGCTACAGAGAAGTCTGTTTCAGGGTATTTTTGTATTTCACATCTTTGCTCAAAAAAGGTGTTGGTAAATTTCACGTGTAAATTTACCAACTGAAATAATCAAAAGCCTTTAGCTAGAAAAATGGTGTCTGTCTCATTAATTTCAAGCATGGAACCATCAGTCAGTTGAAATAAAATGTGACCCTGAACCTTCTCTCCAGTCTGTGCTGAGCTTTGTGAGGAGTTTCAGCAATATTGGATTATGTCTGCATGCAGAAGTTTGCATAAAGCAGTAGCACGTCTGCTTCAGGAAAACTGAGAAATAAACCCAAACTGGGGTCTTGATGCTCTATGCTATATGAAAATACAGCTTGCTCCTTACTTCCTTTGGGCTCAACCTCCTGCACACCAAGAAAACTGAGAGCAAATAAAACCTGAACCTTTGAAACACCAACAAAACTCATTAATCTGCTTTTTATTTCATTTTACTTTCCTTTTTTTACTTTACTTTCCCTAGTCCCCTCCTTTCTGTTTTCACAGGTAGCTGCAAGTGCCACTATACAAGAAAAATCAGAATTTAAATAAACCATAGTGGTCATGTTCAGTACTGCTCTGCCCCTGAAGCCAACATCAGTGCTGAATGGACCACAAGGAGATCCATTCATGAGGAGCAAGGAAATGTTCCTCACCACCTATTACCTCAATGTCCTGGCTGAGCCTTTTAACGATGCTGGTGATGGTCTGGATGTGGTTTTCCAGCAGCTGCTGGGCAGCAGCCTGCCCGTGCTGAAAGCCTTTGGTTCTCTGGAGGCAGGAGACGATGTCATCTTTGATCTGGAAGGCCTGATGGAGGAGGAGAGCCGTGGTCCTCTCCTGGCTGGACAACCGCTCCTCCAGCAGGCGAGCCCTGTCTCCAGGGCGAAGGGGAGGGGAAGGGTCTCTCCTGTGAACACCAAAATCCCAGTGTCAGACTCAGAATCACAGAATCAAAATCTAGTAGGAGTTGGAAGGGACCTCTGGAGATCATCTCCCCCAGACCCCCTGCTCCAGCAGCTCACCCCCAGCAGGGTGCCCAGGGTCACAGCCAGGAGGGT